GGCGGCACCTCCACCGGCAGCGGCCTCTCCGGCCCCAGGGGCTCCTCCTCCGAGCGCTGCCGCGAGTCCCGCCAGGCCTCCAGCCGCTGGGCCGCCAGCGCCGCCTCCTCCGGCGGGAACAGCCGCTGCCACGCCGGCGGCGCCGATGAGGCGACCGGCGGTGTTCAGGGCCACGGGGGGGCCTGGAGCCAAGCCAAGCGACGTTCGGGTGGAGCTGGCGGCGTCCGCTACGGCGGCAGGCAGCGGCAACGCCCGAAAGCGGTACACCTGATCGCCACCTGTCGCTGCCGAGGCGCCCCCTGCCGCTCCGCCCGCGGGGACACAGAAGTCCGCCACGTCGATGCCGCCGGTGGTGATGGCCTCGACGTAACCGTGACCGTCGGGCGTCAGGATGCCCGTGCCAAACGGGGGAGTGGCCTGGAACGCCAAGAGGAGGCGCTCGTGCCAGATCCGAGCTCCTCCCACCTGATACCTGATCAGCACGAAGTCGCCCTCGTCCAGCCCACGAGCCGCGAGGGGATGGCCTGCGGCGGCCGCGGCCGCTGCGGACATCGCGTCACTGGCTCTGCAGTCGAGCCCTCACAAGGGCGACTTGAGCACGGGCCTCCTCCTCGAGCTTGTCAAGGCGGCTGGTCGTCTGGATCGCCACCGGCGGCGCGAGCAGTCGCCCCAGGGCCGCGCCTGCCCCGAGCCCCAAGACCAGGGCCAGCAGCACGGCCGACAACGGCCAGGCCCCCGCCGACGTTGGACAATCCAGCCGCTGGGCCTCCTGACCTGCGCCGCACACCAAAGAAGGCTTGCAGGTGCACGGCGGCCACTCTGCCCTCGCAGCCCAAAGGCGCGCCCCCTGCGATACGGTGTGCAGAGACTCCTGCGCAAGCCACGCGCCAAAACTCATCGAGCGGCTTCACTCGTGCACTTGAGCGCAGATGCCAGCGGAGAGCACGGGCTGGCATCCGGGACGTGCGGCACTCTCACCTCAGGGCTCTGCATAGCGTTGTGACAACTGTCCATATATATATATATATATATATTGTGGGGGGTCCATATTTTTCGCCAATGCACGGTGCGGGGCGAAACCCTCCAGGGCACAACCCGCCTGGGACGCACCGCGGACACCGTCAGTGCGGGCTGGTACGAGACCCCCCTGGGCTGCACGAGACCACGCGGGACGCACCGCTGGTGCGACAGGGCACGAAACCCCTGGGGCTGCCCCGGGGTGCGAGCGCCCAGGGGCGTGCGAGCACCCAGGGAGCGCGTGCCAGCGCCCCAGGTGCTTCGGAGCGCTGGGGGGGCGCCGTGCGGCGTCGCGCCGGCGGCGGCGGCGGCGGCCACGACGACGACAACGATGACGACGAGGACGAGGACGAGAACGGGGGCGGCGTCCAAAAATCGGAGAGAGCGTGATCCACCGCCGCTTTACTGTGGAAAATTGCCAACCTTTTTCCTCCGGAACCCGGGCCCCCCCCCCCCCCCCCCCCCCTTCCGAAAATCCCCCCACCCCCCCCCTCTGCCGGAACCCCTCCCCCCCCCCCCTCCCTCCCGGCAAAACCCCCCCTCACCGAACCTCCCCCCCCCCCCCCCCCCCCCCCTCCCCCTCCCCTCGAAAACCGGGAGGGGTCACTACCGGTTCGAATCCCTCCCCCCCCCCCCTCCGGATCCGGAAAACTGGGGGGGGTCACTACCGGTTGGACCCCCCCCCCCCCCGAGCATCAACAACCGCATAATCTTACGGTGGATGCAGATTATACGGCGTGGTGATGACTCTTACGGAGTGCACCCGTAAAACTATATACCATGAGAAGGAGGATGCATGAGGAAGAGAGGGAGAAGGAAGGAACGCTGAAGGAAGGACGACGGAAGAGAACGGGGAGGAAGCAGCAAGGCGAGTGGAGGGCAGCAAAACACAGGGGCAGGAGAATATGATATATGAAGGGGAAAAGAGGGTAGGATCGCCTGGGGGGCCAGGCGGAGACGGCGGAAGCCGTGTCAAGAACATCAACAACAACAAAGGCATTTTGGAATCGTCTTCTGGCCTCTTGGACTGTTCCTATAGGGCTCTCTTGTGGTTTGTCATGTGGGTATGTTGGCGGGGGCTTCCTTGGGTCCATTGGTGTTGGGTCCTCTTGATTCTTGGGAGCCTATTCGGATTATCTTTGAATTTTGTTAAACTGTTCATATGCATTGCTTTTATCTTTGTTTTGTTGATTTTGGGCCACTTGTTGCGTGTTCGCTTTTTCATATTTTGTGCTCAGCCCCATGTGTCCACATCGAGGTCCAACAACAGTTCGCCGAACACGCAGTGCGCCCACTTGCACAGCATGGACTCCGCAATGGTGTTCGGATGAACTGTGTGCGCTATACGTATGAGGCGTCCCACCAAATCTTCGTCGGCATATGTCCACCAGTATGCTGGGTTTCCAAATTCCATCGATTGGTCGATAAGGTGATCGAAAAGATACAATTTGGGAGCCAGTTTCCACACCCTGTATCTGCGCGTGAAACTCCAGCGCGCAAGCTTGCAATACATGCTCACGACCTGTCTGCCAATGGTTTCGAGCTCGAGTCTGGTGCCTTCGCGCATGTACAGGCTCTCTGTTTGAATGATGGCGTAGAAACGGTCGAGCTGTTGGCAAACACCAAGTGCGAGTTGGTCATGCATGCCCCAATGTGGGTCGTCGAACATTCCGAATGAACGCACAAGGTGCAACGCGAACGCAGTCAAATGTCTCACGGCCGCGCCGTGAGCCTTGAGCTTCGCCCAACCTTTTGTGCCTCGAAGTCTAGCCAGTGTGAGTGTGCCCTTGATGCGAGAATGAAGACCTGTTGTGTTGTACCACTGCTTGAGATGTGATGCCAACCGATCGGCGCCAACTTCAAACGAGCTGCCACCGAATACTTTCCGAATGCAAGCGTAAACAAACATGACGCTCCCGACGATGCTGGCGGTCAACCCCAAACCCAATGTATGCAAAATGTCGACCATCACATTCTCCAAACGCAATCCGATGATACCAAATCCTGGTTGGAAGAATACTGGCACAGGCAACGCATGCAAAGCTAAATGGGCCATGTATGCCTCATGGTTCCAGACCGTGTGTCTCCATCCTGCCTCAGGGCTCACGTCATACCAAGCCCTTTCACGATGCACATTCGATGCCCTGCAGAATGGACACATGACGTCAGCAGAATTCCACGCTGCGAAATAAAAACGCTTGGCAGAAAAATTGCCAGTCTCCCCTGACTTGGCAAACCTGGCCTCGCCAGCCGTCAGCAAGTGTAGATCCGCCTCCAGTAAGGTCATACCCCTGCCAATCTTTCATCGGGGTCTGCCCTGTCAGCAAGACGTTGACACCCCAGGAGAAGGCCTTCATTAACTCGTCTAGAGTGTTCGGCAACATGTCGGACTTCCTGATGCCACTGAATAGGAAACGAGACTGAACTGATGACGTGCCGCTGGCCGCGAGGCTGTTCCACGAAAGTCCAAACAACGAGTCGTGTTTGTTGAAGCCTCCGCCATCGGCATGGAAGCCAAGAGGAATTGTTTTGCTCCACTGTGTGCGTGGTAGATGTGGGTGCTGCTTCACGAATTTCGACTCAGCTATACCGCTCCAGCAATGTTCGCACGAATTACTTGGGCCACACAGGCGCTGCTGAAACAAATCAGGCCGCTCACTAAACATTTTTTTCAAAAACACATGTGGCCAAAGTACTGGATGCGGCGTGTTGGGACCCCTCTTGGTAGGAAGCTTTACCCACTCAATCGGCGCACACCCACTTGGCCATCCGAACACTCTCTTGAGATCACGGAAAAGGTTCCCAGGAAGCTCGCCGCAAGCACCAGCATTCGCTAATCGATCAAGTCCAGTGGCACCTTGTTCGCGGGCACCATGCGAATATTCTTGAACGCGTGCAGAGCTAAGAATACCAGATCCCCAATCTCTCTTGAGAGAGCGATAAACGGCAATGAACAACAACTCTTGGAATCAGAAGGGGCGTTCTTTTCCAACCGCTGCCGAACCCCGCCTCTAACACGAGGAAGATCGCTCGGTGCTGTGCTCAACTCGCCCGACGGACTAGCATCGACGTCAGTCTCTGCCAACCTCTGCCTCAGCCCGCGCTTCGCGCCGAAAACTTGCTGGCACAGCACGCACGCAAGAACACACGATATATGAAGTACGCGCGGCTCGCGCGAATGCATTTCTTGAGCCACAATGGCTACGGAGAAAGAATCCCAAGCGAGAGTACATACTCAGTGACAAACTTGTTGCATAGATCGCTCAGACTCGTTAGCAAGGAAAGCTGGCTCATAGCTTATAGCCGTCATGACTTTCATCGAAGCTTCCAATCATCGTTTGCACTCTGTTAGGTGTTCTCGTAAGCATGTCACCTGGGCCCCACGAGGACAATTGGGAGGTCTCACAAAGGCCCGACACGGAATGCTGTTATTGTTATTGTTATTGTTATTGTTGTTAGTGTTGTTATTGTTGTTGATGTTGTTGATGTTGTTGATATTGTCGATGTTGTTGATGTTGTTGATGTTGTTGATGTTGTTGATGTTGTTGTTTTTTGTTCCTGCCACGCACTTCGCACCGTCGACGACTTGCCGCAGATGTTGTTGATGTTGCCGCTAATGCTATTGATGCTGCTGCTGGCGGCGCTGCTGATGCCGCTGCTCAGCCTCAGCCTCAGCCTCAGCCTGCCTCAGCCTCAGCCTCAGCCTGCTTCAGCCTCAGCCTCAGTCTGCCTGTTGCCTCGGCCTCAGTCTGCCTGCAGCCTCGGCCTCAGCCTGTCTCAGCCTGAGCCTGCCTCAGCCTGACGGTGCGACGTGTGAACGGGTATGCTTCAAGTCAAGTTGCCCAGGCCGAGTGACAAGGTGCTGCAATGGCCGTGGCAGCGATGGCTGCAATGAGCATGAGCATGAGCATCGACAGACAAATGCTGAGGATGAGGAGGAGGGGGACCATGGCTCGAGGCGAACGCACAGGTAGCAAGCAGGTACCACTCCCCGCGGTGCTCAGCAGCGCTGAAGGTGCGCAACCTCGCAGGCAAACTGCCTGAGGTGAAGCTGCCTGTACTCCACGACTCACTACTTCTTGCGCCGCTTCTTGTTGTCCTCATCCTTGTACCCGTTGTTCTTCGAGAACTCGACGATCTGCGTGCACTTCGAGCGGAGCATCTCCATCTGATCGATCAGTTTGGGAATCTCTGACGGCGACGCCTGCTCGGTATGCATGCGCTCCAAGATCGATTTGGTAGACTTCATCTTTTTCAGGCAAGCCTCCACGTCACTGCGAAACTCGGCATGGTAGGGGTCGTTCTTCGTCTTCGCCTTGGTCCTGATGAGGCTCACGTCGAGATTCATGTCCTGAAACTCTCGCACCAACAGTGACAGGTCGCTCTCGACTTTGGCCACCTTGAGCGCGAGAGCCTTCTTCTTCTGCTCCTCCGCGTCGGCGGGCTCTACCTTCACTGCGGTCGGGTTGACGCCGCTGCTCGATGGCGCGGAATCCATCAGCTCCATGTTCGGACCTCCAGTGCGCATGGCTTGCTCCACGTCGTCCTGGGAAGCATCACTTCCCGCCGTCACGAAGAACTTCTTCATCTCCTGCTCTGTCATTCGCTCCCAGTTCTTTGGCACGGCGTATTCTAAGTATTCTGGTTCGGTGCGGCCAGTGAGCGAATCTGGGTATGCTTTCAGCACTGTCCGCCACAGGGCGGCCTTGGTAGGCCCGATCTCGCGGTCCATAGCCTCCACAGACATGCGGACCACATCCGTGAACTTTGAGCTGCCGATGATCACCTCCTTGGACGCAGACACTGACTTCTGCGCGTCGCTGCAGCGGGCCTGGTGCGCGAGGAAGGCCATCATGTACTTCTCGGTGTAGCGGTTCTCTTTCGTGATCTCAGAGTCGGGGTTAGCATTGGCGAATGCCTTGAGGCCTTGCTTGATGCTGTTGATCTTCTTCTGGTCGGCGGCCGCCAGCAGCCTCCTGGCGGCCTCTATCTCCTCCTCAGTAAGCTCACACGCCACGGATGACAGCTTCGCAGCGGCCCGTTTCGGCGGCATCTCCAGTGGGCGCGCCGAGTTGCGCCTCAAGAGAGTGCTCGAGAGAAGAAAAAACGGCTGCGGTCTGGATGAGTTGGGGGGAGGGGGGGGGCTGTTTGGTGAGGGCGAGAACGAGGACGCAGGACGCTCTGCTCAGGAACGGCAGCCGACAACTTTAGCAGGGTCATTCGCCCGAGATGCCTCAGGACATCGTTGGATCAAGGTGTTTTCCTAATTCCACTCGTTGATTGGCCAGCACACATCCGACTTCCAAAATTGAAGAGTAAATTGAAGAATAGCTATTCTTCAATCTATTCTTCAATTATTCTTCAATCGATCATTTCATATATATATATATATGTTTTTATCGATTGAAGAGTAATTGAAGAATAGATTGAAGAATAGCTATTCTTCAATTACTCTTCAATCGATCATTTCATATATATATATGTTTTTATCGATTGAAGAGTAATTGAATAATAGATTGAAGAATAGCTATTCTTCAATTTACTCTTCACTTTGTTGTTCTGACTTGCTATCCGACGTTGCAAGGAGGCCAAACTGTTTTCACACAGTGAGAGAGGGCGCACGAACAAGACAGCAAGTACGCGTGGCCGTGGTCTATCGCCACCTCTGCAGCAGCACGACCGCGGGCAATCTATACAAACAGGCTGAGCGAGCAGCACCAATCAGTCCGAGCCCGAGTCACTGCCAGAGTCTGAGACGAGCGGGGCGTCGTCGGAATCCCCAGGACCCTCGAGAGGCACAGCTGATGGCCTCTTCAACGTAGGCTTTGCCTTCGGCTTGCCCTTCGCCTTCTTCTTCTTCTTGCCGTTCGACTTGTCAGGCGTTGACGGCTTGTCTGCGGCCGCCTTGCCCGTCGCCGCCCTTTTCTTCTCGCCCTTGTCTGCAGCCGCCATGTTCGACGCCGCCCCCTTCTTCTTGCGGTTGCCCGTGGAGTGAACGGCGCCCTTCGTCCGTGCGCCTTGTCCGACGTCTGGTCCGCCGAAGAGCGCCTTCTCGTCGACCTCGTCCTCGTCAGCGTCGCCCTCCTTCGTCTCGTCGCAGCCGCTCAACTTCTGCGGCATGCACTTCTTCAGGTTGAGCACCCTCGTGTTAAACTTCTCGTAGCCGTCGCGGACGTCGTTCACGTTCCCGTCGATGTTCTCGATGCTCCAGCGGCTATCATTTTGTTCGTTGGTGAAGGTATTCATCTCCTGCAGAAGTGCCCAAACATCAGCACGCAGCCTCTGGTTCCACGTGTTGCCCTCCAGGCATTCGAGCCAACTGCTCGCGACAGTGATGAGGTCGGTGAACTTGGACACGTACTTGGATGCCTCTTCCACTTTCGCCATGTAGCTCGAAACTGGTGGACCTGCATACTCTGGTTCACCTCCAGGCCCCTCAGGTTCTTGGGAGTCTAGTGCGATCACTCCAGGGACCAGCAATGGATGTGGCTCTGACGGCCCAGCCAGCGGCGCCGCTGGCGGCTCTGCTGGCCCCGCCGCTGCTGGCGCTGCACCTGGAGCAGGTGGTGCTCGGCGAGATGGCACAATCTCCCCTGCGATGCCAAGGCGGTGGCCCTGGCCCGCAAACGCCACGAACTCGCGGTCGGCGCGAGCGTCCTCGCCCATGGCGTGGACTCGCCGAGTTGGAGAAAACGCAAGCCAACGAATCGGGTTGGTCCAAAATGGCTACAGACGGTTGTTGTTGAAGAGCATGGGGCTGCATTGGGCGTATTGTTGTTCCCGTGCCCTTGTTGTTGCTATTGCTCAATCGATTGAAGAGTAATTGAAGAATAGATTGAAGAATAGCTATTCTTCAATTTACTCTTCAATTTACTCTTCAATTTACTCTTCATTGTACTCTTCAATTTACTCTTCAATTTACTCTTCAATTTGTTGTTCAAGGAGGCCAAACTGTTTTCACACAGTGACAGAGGGCGCAGAGACTCAAGAGCTCCTGGAGGCCTAAGGCTTGAAGCATTCACAACGTCGTTCGGACGCATCGCCCTGCTAAACGGTATTTGCAAATCAAGTGCGATGGAATTCTGTTTTGAATCATGTAATCTTTGAGTCTACCCTTCACTATGCTATTCAATCGATTCCTGTTCAATCTACTCTTCAATAGACTCTTCAATATACTGTCCAATCTACTCATCTATCCACTGTCTAATCTACTCTTCAACCTACTCGTCAATCTACTCTTTAATCTACTCTTCAATCTACTCTTCCATATACTCTTCAATCTACTCTTTAATCTACTCTTCAATCTGCTCTTCAATCTACTCGTTAATCTACTCTTCAATCTACTCTTCAATCTACTCTTCAATCTATGTCCCAATCTACTCTTCAATATATTCTTCAACCTACCCTTCAATCGGTTGTTCAATCTACTGACAACCCTGAAAGAACCTCGGCCCTAGACAACCCCAGACAACCCTGAAAGAACCTCGGCCCTGGACAATCCTACGATACACCCCAGACAACCCTGAAAGAACCTCGGCCCTAGAAACATCCCTAGAAGCTCAGTCAAGGGCACATCAGGCCCATGAGAAGCACGATCACACGGCCGAGCGCCAATAGCCGTAACCCAGCACGGAGCGGAGGAGAGAGGCGAAGCCTTGCAATTGAAGTTCAGACACTGGCGATCTGGAGTAGGAGGAGGACGGGCAGGAGGAGCATAAAGAACACGATGAGTGCAAATATACCACGGCAGGTTTTCGAGACAAGGCCAGCAACAGACTGGTAACATTCTGATGCACGTCTGCGAAAGCGAGCCCCGATTCGCCTTCGTCATCCCTCATTGAACTCCCCCTCGGAGCTCGAGACTTATCCTCTGTAGCCGACGGCCTTCTCCCAGCGCTCGATCATCTTCTTTGCGTACTTCGTGGCTGCAAGTTTGGCCCTCTCGTTGTCACAGCCCTGCCGCAGGCGAAACTTCTTCTCGAGGTGCCATGCGTTACTATGAGCTCGGCTCCGAAGCACGATCATCGGTGCTCCAGTGACGCCGATGTACTTTGCAATGGGGTCGACCGTCTTCCCCGTGTCTCCGACGGTGGCGTCAGTGTTCGGCTTGCTACTCTTGCTCTTCATCGGGACTTTCGGTGGGTGTGCTCCGTGCTTCCTTACCTTCTCCTTCTTCTTCTGCTTCGTCTTCCTCTCCCCATTCGCGTTGTCACCCTTATCCTCCTGCTGCTGCTCGTCGCCGCCCTCGTCGTCAGTAGAATGCACGGGCTCGGCCCCAACGCCGCGCGCAGCCTTGGCGGCCTCACGCGTTGCGGCAGATTACTCTTGGGGAGCTGGGCCAACAGGTGGGTCGGCAGCTAGCAGTGCAAGGTCCGCCGCCGTCAACGACCGCTTCGATGAGGTCGAACTCGTCGCCACATGTGTCTTCGACTGGCCGAAGATCCTCTTCTCCAAAGAGTCGTCGCTGTCTACGGCGATGTCCTCGTCACCGCCATTCATGCTGACGTCGCTGATCTCCACCAGGTCGACGGGCGCCGTCTTCTCGACAGGCACCACGGACGGGATGTCCTGTTTGCCTCGTAGTCGGCGGCAGGTGGCATCAGTCGGGCCAGACAACCTCATCATATTGATCAGGATTGCGAACTGCTGGAAATTGCGAGGCGGTCCAAGGCCACGGCGCTTCCGATCGAGAAGAGTTCGCAGCATCATGCGAAGGTTCAGCGCGCACTTGTCCGACTCGGCAGGCGACCATGTCATGCCATGGGCTGTCAGCCAGGCGGAAAATTGGCGATGAAAACTCTGTTGATGAGGAATCAGCCCGCCCGTTGCCAAGAGAATCGCATGGAGCTCGTCGAACGACTTTCTCACTGACGGCCAGTCGCTGGCACGGCCACCCTTCGTGACTCTGTCTAGAGCCCACAATGATTTAGGCGAGCATGTTGCAAGCTTTACATTCTGATCGAAAATAATATTCGCCTGGGCGTCGTCAAGATCGCACCCGGGAGTGCGATGAGACGCCATTCAGCCAAAACGGCTATACGACATATGTTTCTGTATGTTGCGTTTGCGTGTCGTGATTTACGTTGTGTCGGAGAAGTTCAGTCTAAGATACCTTCCGACAAAATCTTTGCGTTTCGCTTGAGACATCCTCAGAATTCTGGGATCTGCGCTTTGATGCTTTCGCCTTAGGCTTTTCAAAATCAGCCGTTTCGCCTGGGACATCCTCAAACAATGGCATGTTATTTAACTTTGGATCGAATCGGAGGCGGAGGTGACCGTGGTTTTCGTGATGAAGATCGGTTCGTAATACACCCCCACCCTCGAGTAGTGGAAGCGAAGAAGCATGACGAAGATGATGCGGTAAGTGAGAAGATGGCGAGATAAACGAGGAGGAAGAGAGGGATTGGAGGATGCATAGCGCAACGGCCGCCACCCAGTTCAGACGAAGAGCAGGAGAGCAGGATGAGGGGGGGGAGTCAAGGATGAGGATTGGCGCAACGGCCGCCACCCAGAGCAGGAGGAGGACGAGGATTGGCGCAACGGCCGCCACCCAGAGCAGGAGGACAAGGATTGGCGTAACGGCCGCCACCCTGCGAGGGGAGGAAGGGAGGATTAGCGTAACGGCCGCCACCCAGCGAGGAAGGATGAGGGCAAGGTAGTATTGGCGTAACGGCCGCCACCCAGTTGATTGAAATTCCTCCGCCTCCTTCCTGATACACACGCGCGCACGCAAGCACACGCGCACGCACACACGCGCAAACCCACGCATGGTATATCATCGATGCTCCTCCGCCACCGCCTTAAATGAAGGAGAAACGAGGAGAGATGGAAGAATGATTGAGGGCATGGCTGCTACCCAGACAAAAACCATGGCGACTGCACCAGCAACGGCAAACAACAGTGGACATAACCAGGACGGCATCGCCAATGCATCTTTTCAGTGGAGCTGGCTTTTCCTCTGTTCCTAGATCAGAAGCTCTATAGTGGCACACGTAGTAAGATATTTCGACGTGACGGTCAGCATTCGTGAACACTTGTTCGCATGAGTGAGCCCCACAACTAGTTTTGAGGACAACCCTTAAAACCATATCGTTCAGTGAATTTACGGCATTACCTTATGTCTTAAGGTTTTTCGCAATGCGTTTTGAAGTATTTCTTGGTTTTAAGGGTAGTATTTGAGGGAATCCCTTTAATCCTTGTGCAAACCACCCGCAATTCAACATGAATCCGTTGATTCGTAAGGAATCCTCATTTAAATGAAGTTGTTGATGGTCGGGCCCCCCCCCCCTCGAAAACCGGAGGGGGGTCACTACCGGTTCGACCCCCCTCCCCACGCACCGCCAGCAAACGACTCCCGGCCCCTACCACCGGTCGCATCACATCCCCCACTGTTGTTCCCAGCGCCACTGTCCTCACCACCACTGTCCCCACTGGTTCCACCACCGTCCCTATTGCCCCCACCAATGCCACCACCACTGTCGCACTGTCCCCACTGTTCCCACAACTGTTCCCACCGCGGTTCCACTCCCCACTGTCTCCACGGACCCAACCACTGCCTATCCCCATTGTCCCCACTGTCCCACTGACTCCTCCGCTGTCCCACTGAGCTGTCCCACTGTTTCCACCACTGTCCCCGCTGTCCCCGCCACTGTCCCCGCTGTACCTCTGTCCCATTGTCCCACCGCCGTCCTCGCCACCGCCTTTACCAGTGTCTCCACCACCATTGTACCCTCCACTGTCCCAGTGTTTCCACCTCATTCCCACTGTCCCCACACCACTGTCCCCACCACCACCGTTCCCACCACTGTCCACTGTCCCCCCTGTTCCCACCATTGTCCCCACCACTACTTGGATCACCGCCGTGGTTGCTTTGTGGTTGGGGCAGTTCGATGTTGTTTGGGGGCGGTTAGCCACGTTACGTAAGCAGTGTGCTAAACTGCTTAGCTCGGGGAGTGCAAGATACATGCTAAGCCTGTTAAGGTAGAGGAGCTATCCAACTTAGCGGGCTTCGCCTAACCTAGTTAGCGGGGTATGAAACCATGTAAATTTGGATAGTTAATTGATATACTCGGGGATGTCAACTCGAAGTTTTGGCTTGGGAATTGCGCGATTCGAAATCGGCAACGCCTGAATCGAAACAAAAATCTCGATCGTCGGGGCAGGCGCCAGCCTTGACATCTCCAGGGGGCGAAGTATAATGTGGAAATCTACGCTTCCCAACCGCATTTCCGCGAATCAACGGCGCACTTCCCGCTGCGACTCAACGGGGCGCAAGTGACGGAGGAGAGGGAGAAAGGGGATGGATAGGAGGGGAATGAAAACAATTGTACGAGGGGAACGGAGGACGAGAACGAGGAGAAGGAGAAATACAAGAACGATGCACATACGGAGAATAAGGAAAGCGAGAACGGGAAGGGAGGCAGAAGAGGAGGGGGGTCAAGTCGAGGCCCACTATTTCTCCAGTTAGGGCCCCGTGATTGCACAATCGGGGGTCCAATTAAGGGTCCAGTGGGGCTCGAAAAGAAGTTCAAAAAAGGGTGCCTTCGGGGGTCAATCGAACGCCAAGGCAAGCCCCCGCACGGGGTCAAGTGGGGTCCCTGTCGGGCCAGACGCGAGGCCCTGTGGGACGGGGCGTTGAACTCTCAACGGGTCCAATGGAGGGCAAAGTGGGTAGGGGGGGGGTCAGGGGCGCAGCGAGGTCCCAGTTGTGCCCAGCACCGCACGATGTTTTGATCAGAAGATATCTAGCGCTGGAAAATGGAAAAAAATCGCCATAACATTGTTCCAACATTAATGGCCACACGGGGCCACCGCAAAGTTCCAGCAAATGCCGCGCTGGTGTCAAACATGTCTCGGCCAGTAAGGCTTCCAACGGGGGGGGCGAGAAACAAAACCAATAAGGGGAGCCAAACAGGGGCACACGGGGCCCACTAGCGCTCCACTACGGCCCCCCTTGGGGTCCAATCGGAAGCATCCGCATCCTCCCCATTGTCCTCTTCTTCCTAGAGGGGGAGGCAGGAGGGGGAGGGGGGCGGGAGGTGGAGGAGGACAGGGAGAAGGAGGGGGAGGAGGCGGAGGAGGAGGAGGAAGGGGCGGAGGGACAGGAGGAGGGGGAGGAGGAGGCGGTCCGAGCATTTAGGCTGGGCTTCGGGCCGCCCCAAACAGGGAAAGGCCAAGGGGGTAGCCCTCCTCTCGATTCCTGGAGCAGGAGCGCGCTCAGAGCAGACTGGCTGACCACCCTCCTCCTCCTCCTCCTCCTCCTCCTCCTCCTCCTCCTCCTCCTCCCTCCTCCTTATCCTCCTCCTCCTCATCCTCATCCTCCTCCTCCTCCGCCTCCTCCTCCTCCTCATCCTCCCCCTCCTCTTCCCTCCTCCTCATCATCATCGCCAACCTCATCCTCATCCTCGTCCTCCCTCCTACTCTTCCTCCTCATCGTCATCCCACCCCGCGCCCTCCTCCTCCTTCTCGGCATCCTCCTCCTCATCATCCCCAGCCTCCTCACCGACCCTCCTCATTATCATCATCCTTCGCCTCCTCCGTCTCCTCGGCCATCTTCCATGATAATGTGCTTCCGCCTCCTCACCATCCGCATCCTCGACATCATCCTTGCCCTCCGCATCATCATCCACCTCTTCATCCTCATCCTCCTCCTCCTCCTCCTCATTCTCCTCTTCCCCCTGCTCCATCCCCTGTCCCTCCCCCTCCTCCTCATCTTCATCCTCAGCCTCCTCCTCATCATCCCTCCTCCTCCTCCTCCTCCTCCTCATCTTCATCCTCCATCCCCTCCTCATCCTCCTCTTCCTCCTCCTTCTCCTCCTCCTCATTCTCCTCCCTCCTCGTCCTCTTCACTCGCCCCCCTCCTCATCGATCAAACTCCTCGTTGATCCTCATCGTCATCCTCCTCCTCCTAGTCCTGCTCCGCCTCCCCAGTCTCTTCGATCGTGCTCAGCCTTTCTCGGTCCTGCTCACCCCTCTCCGTCATTCCCCTCCCGCACGCCCCACCCTACCTTGCGTCCTCATCCTTCCCCGTCCTCCCTCCCCTCCTCTCATCGCCTCCCCTCGCCTCCCCCCTTCAGCCGTCGGACGCTCCAGGGGGTCGCCAGGCAGGGCCCAAGATGCCGACTTCTCCGCATGACCGATTTCCAGCAATCCCGCCCCGGTGATCCTGGGGGGACGTCTCATTGTCTGGTTATTGGTTTCCTCACAGCAGGGTGGGCAGGATGAGGATGAGGAGGACCCCCCGTTTGTTGTTTGTGATTTCCACCACCCCCTCTTGGGCAATCCCCTCGTGGTGATCCTGTTGCTTTATACGTCTCATTGTCTTTGTTATTGGTTTCCTCACAGGGCTCGGGTGGAGGATGAGGATGAGGAGGAGGATGGAGATAGGAGGTCGGAGGAAGATGGCGATGCATGCATGTCCATTCAAAGCCCGAGTGCCCTGAGCTTCAGCCTGGGCGGCAACAGTACCTGACATATCGTGCCAGTCCGCGCTGGCCAGTACACACAAGGCTCAATTATGTCCAACATGCTAATCAACTCTAAATCGCAGCGCACACGGCACTTCACATGCGTGGGCTCCGAAGCTACAACTGTCCACTTGTAAATGCACGTCCAGAGTGCATCCGCAAACCGAGCATGGAAGTGCACTGACCCGAACTCGACGCCAGAAGCTCCCTGGAATGAAACCACGTCCCCTACACAGACGACGCGGCAGTGCACGTGTGCGTCCTTCGACGTGTCAATGACGACGTCGTCGCCGATGTCGTTGCTCCCGCCACAAAGCAAGGACCGCACCCTCTTGGTCGCAGGCCTAGGGTTCAGCAAGCTCGGCTTGGTCAGGGGCATCTTTAGCTGGTAAAGGTGCTGCACGGTGACCTCCTCCATGAGCCCCCTGTTGTACGACACTGTCGTGTGCCTACCAGTCGCCATGGTCTTGACGGTTCGGTGCTTCCGCTCTTGGACGAACACCGACAATAAACATTTGTGCCTCCGCAGAGTGTCTGGGAGATGAATGGTGTAGTGCGACTTGGGAAGCCACAGTGACTGCCCATAAGCAGCCTTATGCAACGCCAGGTGCCGCCCGATAGCGGTGGCCAGCTGGCCAGCCCCGACGAGGCCAGAATTCACGATCGTAAGAAGTTGCACCACCACGCAGAGGGCGATCCCGCTCCTGACCTCGGCGTCGGCACCACCCACGATCGGCAGCGCAACATCCCTGAGCCACTTCTCGAGCACAACAGGGGGCGAGAGGAACACCGAGGCATTGCCAGACGGGCTGTTGTCCGAGTGCTGGGAGCACAAATCCTTGGCGTCAGGGTGCGCCAAGGGCCACTGCCATTGCTTTAAAAATCCGTCCAGCACGTCGGGGCCTAGCCCAACTTGGCGAAGCCTATGCACAAGCTCGGACACCTCCTTGGTGTATACGCCGTTGACCATGTAGCAGTGCATCCAGTCCCAGCACCAGGCCTTGACGACGTCGATGTCGTCGACGAGGCTCTCGTCCTGCAGCCAGTTTGAAGCGAAATACTTGTAGCCCATCAGTGTCTCGTACTTCTCGAGCTCTGTCTTGCCGTTTGGGACGGCCGCCAACTCCCGAAGCCTGCGCTGGATGCCCCGAATGCCACTAGCTGTGCGCGCCCGAAACTTTGAAATGTCCACCTCGTCCGCCGAGACCAAAAAGTTCGAAGGGTCTGGGAGCAGCAGCGACCGATGCCCTACGGCGTTCGCGCACAGTGCGCATACTTTGTGAGCGGTGGCGCCCATCACCTGCATGGGCGCCTTGAACGCCCTCTCGCCCTGCACGATGATGCCGAGGCGCCCGAAGACTAGCCTCGGCGCAGCCTCGCCAGCCACGGCGATGGACACGCCGTCCCGCAGGTCGGGCTTGCCATCTGCACGTCCAAATAACTGCCGGAGAACGTACTTAAAAACTTGCGACATGTTGCCATCCATGCTGTCAACGCTCGTGGCCTGGACGGCCGCGATTGTGTTCCACGCTGCTTCTGCATTCAACGCTGGGAAGCCCAATTCTGCAAAGGACCAATAGCACATCTGGACCTTACGGTCGTTATGCTCCGCAAGTGGGTTGCCTGGAGTCACCTCGTCCGCGTAGAGCAGGACGGTGATGAAGTTCCTGCCCCGATCGAGTGCCTGAGGGAGAAGGCCCCCCCCCTCCCACCCCCCAGCCACCGCGTCAACCCAAGAGGGAGTGGGGCAGGAGCGGGGAGCCTCGACCAACGTGTCTCGGTAGCACTCAGAGAACTTAGACGCCGCCTCCAAGAAGCCCAGCGGGTGTGCCAAGTACATCTCGACCGTGCCCCCCTTGGTCGTGGGCACCTTGTGGAGCTGCAGCAGCTTGCCGAAGGAGGTATCCTGGAAAGCTACTCTCTGCCGTTCTCGCTGGATCGTCGACGGACTGGACGCATCAGGCACACCCTCTCGGCGCACTTGGTCGAGGATCTGCGACAGCGCCTGTGCTGTAACATGAGCTCCTCGACCGAAGTCAATCACTCTCGGTTTCTTGTGTGGTGGTTCGCCGCCCAGCGGCATTATACCTTGAGCCAAAACTGGCTACGGTGGATATGGATGTGATGTGGGAACGGAAACTATACGAGGATTGGGGGTAAACCATTGGCTTGGAGGTTTATTGTTAACGCACCCTCCCGCCAGACCGTGCGGATCCAGATTGGGGCGGGGTGGGCCTGGGCTTATTTGGATTTTGGGCGCGGCCCTGACCAGCTGAAGGCAACGGCCAGCCGCAGCAGCGAAATGGGATGGGTCCAGGGGCACCGAAAAAATAGCCTGACGAAGGACCCAACCATATGCAGCTGCGAGTACCGCATTCTGGGCACTGCTTTCGGTGGAGCTCCCTATGGGTCAACGATCCTCGCGAGGGATGCGCCGAATTGGGTCCGACGCCCCCATGCGGACCCTGCCACTGGGGCCTTCGGTGGGGCTCCCTATAGGGCCACGATCCTCGTGAGGGGTGTGCCGAATTTGTTCCGACGCCCCCATGCGGACCCTGCCACTGGGGCCTTCGGTGGAGCTACCTATGGGGCCGCGAAACGTGTGAGGGGTGTGCCGAAATTGTGATGGGGAGGCATGCGGACCCTGCCACTAGGGCCGTCGGTGGAGCCCCCTATGGGGCCACGAAACGTGTGAGGGGTGTGCCGAAATTGGTGTTGGGGAGGCATGCGAACCCTGCGACTGGGGCCTTCGGTGGAGCTCCCTATGGGGCCACGAAACGTGTGATGGGTGTGCCGAAATGGGTGGTGGGGAGGCATGCGAACTCTGCCACTTGTGCCTTTAGTGGAGCTCCCTATGGAGCCACGAAACGCGTGAGGGGTGTGCCGAAATTAGTTTTGGTGAGGCATGCGAACCCTGCCACTGGAGTCTTCGGCGGAGCTCCCTATGGGGCCACGAAACGTGTGAGGGGTGTGCCGAAATGGGTGCTGGGGAGGCATGCGAACCCTGCCACTGGGGCCTTCGGCGTAGCTCCCTATGGGGCCACCAGGCGTGTGAGGGGTGTGCCGAAATGTGTGGTGGGGAGGCATGCGAACCCTGCCACTGGGGCCTTCAATGGAGCTCCACGAAACGTGTGAGGGGTGTGCCGAAATGGGTGGTGGGGAGGCATGCGAAACCTGCGACTGGGGCCTTCGATGGAGCTCCCTATGGGGCCACGAAGCGTGTGAGGGGTGTGCCGAAATGGGTGGTGGGGGGGCATACGGGCCCTGGCACTGGGGCCTCCGATGGAGCTCCCTATGTTGCCACGAAGCGTGTGAGGGGTGTACCGAAATGGGTGTTGGGGAGGCATGCGAACCCTGCCACTGGGGTATTCGGTGGAGCTCCCTATGGGGCAACGAAACGTGTGAGGGGTGTGCCGAAATGGGTGGTGGGGAGGCATGCGAACCCTGCCACTGGGGCCTTCGGTGGAGCTACCTATGGGGCCACGAAACGTGTGAGGGGTGTGCCGAAATTTGTGTTGGGGAGGCATGCGAACCCTGCAATTGGGGCCTTCGGTGGAGCTCCCTATGGGGCCACGAAACTTGTGAGGGGTGTGCCGAAATGGGTGGTGGGGAGGCATGCAAACCCTGCCACTGGGGCCTTCGGTGGAGCTCCCTACAGTGCCACGAAACGTGTGACGGGTGTGCCGAAATGGGTGGCGATGGTGGTGATGGTGACGGCGGGTGATGAGGGCGATGATGGTGCCGATGACGGTGATGGTGATGATGACGACGAGGATGACGACGACGATGGTGATGACGATGATGATGGTGATGCTGACGATGATGATGAACATGGCGGCCATGATGTTGTTGATGATGATGATGACGATGACGATGATGACTGATGGTGGTGCCGATGATGCGAGGAGGGGGGAGGGCAGCGGGAGGAGGAGGAGGAGTGACGCGGGGCGCTCTCTCTTCAAAACGAGGACCCAACACCACAGGATGGTTGGGAACAAAATCAGCGATGGCCCGAGAAGACGACAGCGAAAGGCCCAACCAAGTAAACGAGGACCCAACACCCCGAACTCGTCGTGCCCCTCCTTTTGTCATCGGGTCTCCCTCTTCTTCTGTCGCAGAATTCCCGCGCGTTCCCATCGGCCCCTGAAGTGGGGCCCTTGATCGAGCTCCACAGGTGTCGCCAACGGGGCTAATGCAGGATGGGGGGCATTGTCCAAGCCGATCGGGGATGAAGGAGGGGTATGAGGAGGAATACAGGCGAAGGGGCGGCGGGATGAAGAGCAGGCGGCGAGAATGGAGGGAGAGGAAAGGGAGCGTATAGGGTGCGAAATGCGAGGCAGTATGCATGATGGGACACCGCACTTTTTTTCGGTTGCCTGAGGGCGCTCGAATGTGAATGTCCCCTTGAGGAAGGGACGGCAATTGTTGTCATACTCGGTGCGCATATATGCTCATTGTAGCTGTGGCGTACATGAAAGCAAACACGAAGCGAAAATCTCTGGCGGAGCAAGGGCCCCCGTCGCGCCGTGCACGCGCGCGCAGCACGTGCTACTACACACGCGCGTGCTCCAGCACCATGCATATCAAAAAGCTGAGCCTGGCTATTTGCCAGCGTGCTTAGTCCAGAAAGCACTGGCGGCACGATAAGCAGACGTGCCGCAATCGGCAATAGCAGCCTTAGAGAGCCCAGCGGCAGCGGCCCTCGAGCGGGCCCTGCCGTATACCCAGCTCGAGAACGTGTTCTTGTCCCTGCCGCCGACCATGGTAGTCTTGAGCAGGTCGGAAATGCTGACCTCGCCTCGCGAGGGAAGCGAGGGCGGCGGGCAAGGCGACCCCTCGCTCGAAGTGCCCGTGCTGTCGGTAGCTCGAACTGAGCACGTCGGCCCCCAAGTTGGGGCCGCGGCTGGTCATATCTTTCGGGCCCTCTCGGGGCTCTCTGGTGCCCTAGCAGAACTCCATGTGGGCCAATCCTGGGCCCCTCCACGAACCCTCTTGGACCGTCAAAGTGGGAAACATTTGTGCGAAAGCTGAAGCAGAGCACGTCAAGCCTCAATCTTGAGCATCTTGAAGCCCTGGATCTCTCTCTCTCTCTCTCTCTCTCTCTCTCTCTCTCTCTCTCCCCCCCTCTCTCTCTCTCGGGGCACATCAGGAGTCTTCTTGGGCCTGGGCCCTTCTAGGGCCCTTTCTAAACCCTCTTGGGCGCCAAAGGTGACAGAAGAAAGAGCTCGTTTTCATAGGGTGTGTGTGTGTGGCTAAATGTGCACGTCGAGTCTCGTGCTGACCCCCATCAAGCCATTATCGTCCACCTCGGGGCCTTGACGTCGCATGGGGCAACCCGTGAGGCTCTCTAAGGCAACCTTGGGGATTTAAGATGGAACAAAAGTATTCAGCTTGACGGAAACAGAGAATCAAACCCTCCAGCAGCCAGCTGAGGCCGCATTATATAAGTCGCATTGGCGGCTGCGGTGCGAAAAGATGCACTCGCAAGAAAAGCGGTCGCCTGTGTTCACGTGCTTGCTGCCGCCCTTGCCCCCCTTCGCGACCTTGGTCTTCGGCGGCGGAGTTGCTGTTGGCGAGCCCGTAGCCGTTGCCTTAGCCGCGGCCTTAGCCTTGGCTTTGCCTTTGGCCTTGGGCTTGTCCCCGCGCTTGCGCTTGGCGCCCGCCCCCAACGCGTGCCCCGCAGCAGCCGCCGCTGTTCGCATCCGCTCCTCGAGCTCCGCAGCCTCATCCTTGTCGCGGTCGGCGTCGACAAGCGCACTGACGGCGGGCACGTGAGCCGGAAGCGCCGCAACCGCGCCCCCTGGGGGCACCGCGCCCACGATCGCTCCCGCTGTTGGGGGCGGAGACCCTGCGACTGTGCTGAGAGCGCTGGGCGTGCCCGAGGTGTTGGTGACAGGGCTGCCCGCTGGCTCCGAGGCCGCCGAGGACGGCGCCCGCCTCGGGCGATCGAAGATGCGAATGCCCCCCATGCCAGCGGCGCCGCCCGTGGCCCCAGCCGCCGTCATGCCCGCCATGTGCATGACCCCCTGGACCATCTCCATCATCACATCCCGCATTTCCTGGCGACCCATTGCATGGGACGCGCCAGCGCTCGCGCCGTGATGCCTGACGGCCAGCTCTGTCACCTGTGAAGTCGCTCGGAGCACCTTGGCCGTCTTGCGGTAGTAGAAAGTTGCGGCCTCCTGCGCAATCACCTCGTGCACCACCTCAGGGTCGGAGACTGGCAAGTCAGCCCCGTAGGCGAACTCGATGAGAGGTGGTTCGAGATCGCTGGGCAGCGACGGGAACACCTTGCGGTGGGGCCAGGTGCGGGGTGAGGCGCGGTCAAGGTCCTTGATGTGCCGCTGCAACGACGTGCACATCGCACGCCTATCCCACACGCCAAGCTCCTCTGTGCCCCCCACGCAGTAGACGAGCGCAGCCCCAAACTGCAGGAGCTTCTCCCCTGGGCACGTGATGCCGATGCGCCACATGCGCGACGCCAGCAAGCGTAGCTTGGCGTCCCTGGAAAGGTCATCGTTCCTGATGCCGCTCCAGTCGGATGCCGTGAGAAACTTGTCCAGATTGTCGCAGCGCTGCTGCTTCCTGGCCCCACGCGAGTCGGCCGTGCCAGCCATGACGTTCCCCAGCGCAGTCGCGATCGCGACGCGCTGCTCCTCCGACCAAGGCCCGCCCATGAGCTCGCGGCCCACCGCGGTGACGACATTCATGTCCACCCCTGTGTGCTGCGTGAAGGAGGAGATGAGCGCCTGGGTCTGCGACGCCACGATGGCATCTCGGGGCGTGCCCAGGTCGACCTGCGAGGTGATGAACGCCACGCGCTGGCGAACATTGGCAACGATGGTGTCCGCAGTTGATGCGGCCATCACAGGGTAGCAGGTGGAAGTCTAAGTGTGGTCTTCACCCTGTGATGTGCATACGCACGAGGCACGGGCCAAGACGGCTACGACACAGAGGGGGAAGGAACGGACGTGTGTGTTGGGAGGGAGGAGATGGGGGGGAGGTGGAAGGGATGGACGAGGGAGTGGCGAGCAGACAGGAGGGGGAGGACGGTGGTGATGATGATGAGGGGGAGGGTTGCGT